TAAACAATACTATTGATAATTAAATTATTAATTTTATATAATTAAATATATAAATTTATTAAATTAATTAAAATTTTTTTTGACCCATAGAACTGGCCGTGCCCTAACCCACATCAACTCACTGATTTAGTGGGTTGGCCTATTTAGGCTTGATTCTAATATGGGTCAAAAATTTCTAACTTAACCTACCTCATATTTAATAGAAAATGAGCAACTCTATGAGCCAGGTCCATTTTGACAGATCTATACAGCAGCATCAGTTGATAGCTTAACGAAGGAAAATATTGCTAATTAAGAAAATTAAACTTCCACCAAATTGCTGACGGCGGTGTACATATGGAACACAATTACTTATATAGCAGCCAAACAAGTTTTATTTAAGAGTACGATTATATGTCCACTTTTATCCTTTGATGTCTGATGCATTATTTAACAAGTCCTGGCTGCTTTTCTGAAACTTTAACGAAGAAACCATTTGTAAATTCCAAAATCGGTGTACGGGCCACCTCCCCTCCTCTGATCCTTGTCAACCTATATTGAAAATTCAAAAAAGAAAGACACTATATTAGATATACTTTATATATAGTAGCTAGATATATAAGTAAATAATCCTAAAAGTACAAATTTTATAGTAGTGTAATAAAGATATAAACCTGTATTTGGTAACCCAGACATGTAAAAGGACTGCCATCAGAACCTTGCTGAACTCTGCTCCTGCACATGTCCTATTCCCTCCCCCAAATGCTATGAAGTTCTTCGCCGTTGAAATGCCTCCCATGTCCTTTAATTATAAGATTTGCACAATATGAGAAAAGAGAAATACTACCTTACAATTATTCAAACTTATAAAAGCCTCAATCAACTACAGCAATCCTTTAAATTTCTGCTATTTGTGTTTATATGTGTTAAGTTTACTATTATTAATTCTGTTTATGAGCAGAGTAAGGTTTTTTTTTTATCAATCAAACGAAATCTTATTCAATCTATTTTTTATTCGGTCAATTTTTTTGAGTCGGTCAAAAGTTTAAGTAAAGCTAGAATAGCTGGGGAAAGATTTACATAATATCTACCTTCCATCTTGAAGGGTTGAAGGTAAGAGGATCTTCATATGTATTAGGGTTAAGTTGAACAGCTGCAGGTACAACCAAAAGGATCCATCCTTTTGGTATAGTATAATCTGCAAATAAAGAAACATTCCATTGATCATAAAATATATGTTTGGGATCTGTTTAACCATATAAAATAAATAGATCAATTTATTCATAAATAAGAATAATTATACCATCAACATGAATATCAGTTATAGCTCTTCTTAAGATTCCAGGAGCAACACTTGCTAACCGAAGTGTTTCTTTAATCACCTAATAATAGAAAAATAACGAATTAAAAATCTTTGAAAGAAATCAATTTTCTTTCTTTGAGAAAATGTTGCCATTTAACTCACATAATGAGTAAAAGTCATAGATTTGTATTCCTCCCATGAAAGTCCACGATTGGCGCCTTCTCTTTTCTTTAGAATTTCCTCATGCTCATCCTAGTGAAATGATATCCCAAAAAAATAAATAAAAAAGAAAAAAATAATCAAGGTTTTCCGTATAAAAACGATGAAAATGTTCGCAAAATAAAAAAAAAATCATTCAAAATGATCTTATTTCGATAATTAATCACTGACAGTTAATTGTTGCAATGTTGATGGATCATCCAATACACACTTAATGGCTAAAGTAACAGCGGTGGAAATAGTCTCAACACTAGCAACTAGGAGACAAAAGATAGCGTTGATGACAAACTCCTCCGTCAAAAATGCTTCCTTTCCCATGTCTTCCACTATTTGACCAAGAAAATCTCCTTTATTACAACCTTGGGAATAAGACTTCCTTCTCACTTCTAGCAACTGAGAGATAAGCTTTAATGCTTTTTGTTGCTTCTGCATATATATTTAGAAAGAGAGAGAGAGAGAGAAAGCGTGTGTGGAAGATATTAGTTTTTAAAGATTTTAAAACTTTGCTATAAAGTTTAGAAGTTATAACAAGTGTAATAGAGATGATTAACCTTTATGCATCTGTAGAAAGCAGTCCCAGGGATATACAAAGGGAACGTCATAAGTCCTTCCAAGAAGCTACATAAATATTCACTTAAGTTTTCCTCTGACTTTTCCAATTCATAACTCACCATAATATTTGAAGTAAACCCAAGTATCATCTGCAAAATGCGATAAAATTAGTGAAAATAAAAAAAGAAAAGAAAAGAACTAAGTACACATTGTAATAATAAGTCCACCTTGATTTATAGCCGTTTCAACCCCTACTCTCCTCAAACTTGTGTCCAAGGTTCATATTATTTCGCTACTACTGTTTTATGAAGTATATTAGGTTAGGCTAGAATTACTTACAACAGCACTTTGGGCTCTTACGTCTACTTCTGACTGTTTGGCCCACTCATGCAATCCACGGTTTATGATTTCCTCAGACTCACAAAGTAGCTTCTCTTTGAGAGCCTCAGGGCCAAAGTGACTCAGAACCACACGCTTCAGATACTTGTGCAGGTAGCCACCTTCATTTATGTTTTCTTCGTGAACCAGCTTTGCAAAGGAATCCATGTAATATAGCTCGACAAGTTTTCCTTCTTGTTGGAGCACGAAATAATTGAAATCAGGATCTGACGATACCACCACTGATTGACCTGCTAAACTTGTCTTGAACAATGAACCATATCTAGTAGTTAATTAAGAAATGAAAGATTAATTTAAAAACCCATATCTATATAGAAAGCAAAAGTTTAAAATGATGAAAGTTTTCAATTCTTGCATGTTGAATGATTAATGTGTTTTTTCACCTTTCTATTCTCTCCTTAATAAAAGGATGGATGTCTATGGACCTGCACGTGACAAGAAAATTAAGCGTTTCCCCCATAATTGGGAGTCCCATGGAACCTGGAGGTAGTCTGCCACTACAACTAGGGTTCCTCCACCAATAAATCCATCTTGTCACACTTAGAACAAGGAAAGAGATGACAAAAAGCCAAAGAGGCCACATCTCCACTAGATCACTCAAGTGGGAAAGAGGAGATGGGAGGAGAGCAGAAGTGAACACAGCAAACTGGGTTGCACTTTGTTTTGGGTTTTTGTGAAGAGTGCGCTAGTCCTAATATATAAAAGCCCGTGATGATTTCAGTACTTGTCAATTGACAGTTTTCCCCTACCAAAATGGATGTTGATCAAGCTTTGATTACTGGAGTTAGTTAGACTTTTGTATTATTAGATTTGCTTTATTCCTGCATTTGATTGAACCCCTTGCTTCAAAAAATCAACACTTTTCTGACAAACATTATAATTGAATTGCCTTACCTGATTGAGACCATTTCACTATCTAAAGTTTTCTCCAGGAGCCGTTTACTTCGAGAAAGTTGAGCTCCGCTAGATACAATCCTTCTAAAGGTATTTTTAAAAATAATTTTTAAAGATAAAATAATTTTTTTTATAATTTTAATTTTTTTAGTTAAATTAGATAAAATTATTTTTAATAAAATTACACGTCATACTGTTACACATTATATATAAAAACATGTTACACGTTACGGTCAAAACAAGTTGTTACATATCATGTTAAAAAAATATTATTATTCTACGTTATGTACAAAAATATATTATAAATCATGATTAAAGAAAGTTGTTACACGCCATATTTAAAAAAAAATTATTATTACACGCCATGTACAAAAACATGTTATATGTCATGATGAAAAAAATATTGTTATCACATGCCAGGTTGAAAAAAATATTATTGTTATACACCATATTCAAAAAAGTTTTGTTACACTTTAATACTTAAAATGTTGTTGTTACTTACAAACCAAAGTTTCAAATCTTGTCAACTCTCTTCATTTTTTATTGTGTTTTTTTAACAATTTGATATTGATTAAAGTGTTTCTAATATATTTTCATAAATCAAAATATAAATTTTTAATTTAAAATATATATTCTAACTAAAAATAAAAAAAATTCTTTTGAAAACCTAGATTTATAAGTTTCAAATTCTTGAATTTATTAGTGTGGTTCCGAAGTGATCTAATTAAAAATTATTTCAAATATCTATGATTATTTTTATCGTTTTAGTTTTATCTAAAATACTTAAAAATTAAATTCGTCAAATAGTCATCCATCTTAAACATATTAAAATCATCTTTTGGTATCTTGTAAGTATAAAAGAAAAAAATCTGAAAACACAAGAGAGAGAAATCAAGTGCATGACAGATGAGCATTGAAAAGAGAAATCGATAAAATTAAAAAGAATTAGATGGTAGAAGAAAGAAATAAGAAACATAAATAAAAAAAACTTATGATGAATAATTTAATTTATTTAAAATAATTTTAAAAATATTTTTATTAAATAATAATTAAATATAATTAAAATAATTAATTTTTTTAAATAATTATTTTTAAAATATCTTTATCAAAAAAATTATTCTCCACAATTTCCTTTTCCTTCTATCACGTTTCATTTTCCTGTTTTAAATCTTTGGTGGATTCATAGGAGAGACAGCTTCCAACTATGCTGAGAGCAATTATTACCTTGATGACTTGATCTTTCTTAAAAAGAGCAGATGTCTGTCTACGTCGAAGTGGAGTTATAGCTGACATGAAATGAACCAATAAGTGGAGTTATAGCTGACATGAAATGAACCAATAAGATCGTTCCGAGAACCATTGCCTTAAGGAGTTAAGAGACAGCTGGAATTTATGGAAGAAGATAAAGGCTCCAGCTTCGTTCATGATAAGAGCGAAAGCGGACAAGGCAGTTGTGAGTAATCA